TGGACCCCCTCCAGCCTGTCCCTGCCCCTGCCCCCTCCTTTATGTTCTTAATGTCCTAAGGTTGTTTGTTTTTCTTTTTTTAAATTTATTTTTAATTATAGTTGGCACACAATTTTATCTTCGCTTCAGATGTACAGCCTAGTGATTAGACATTTCTGTACATTAGGAAGTGATCACCCCGGTAACTTAGTAACCATCTTATTACAACATGATTGCTTTTCTGAGTTAATGCTTTCAGATGGCTTTTCTCATTTATTCTACTAATGTCATGATTTGCATTGATAGGTTCTCTAACAGTAAACCAACTTCGCATTTCTGAAATGAGCTAACTTGGCTAGTATATATTTTTCAACTTTGGTTAATTTGTTAATATTTTATATAGTATATTTGCATCAATATATTCATAAGTGAAATTGAGTAATTTTATTTTTTCAGCTGGTTGTTATCAAAGGTGTATTAAGTTCTTAAAATGAGTCTAGGAGTATTGTTGTTGTGCTGTTGTTATTTTTTATCCTCACCCAAGGACATACTTAGAGGAAGGGAGAGAGAAACATCGATATGAGAGAAACACATCGATTAGTTGCCTCTCCCACAAGTCCAGACGGAGGCTGGGGATCGAACCTGCAATCCAGGTATGTGCCCTTGCCTGGGAATCGGACCCATGACCCTTTGGTGCTGGGACCAGTGTTCTAACTACTGAGCAACACCGGCCAGGGGTCAATTCCTCCTTTTTGAGCAGCTAGGTCCATACCACAATCACTTCCCTTGATAGCTTCTCATTATATGGGGCCACTATCCACACAAAATTATTCCAATTAGCCAGTCATCAGAGAACCCAGGAAAACTAACTAACCCCATCCTGCTTGCCATACATAAGCTGACTCCTAGAGTGCCAGCTTGCTGTAACCCAGTGCTACCCTGTCCCTGGATACAACCCCGTGTGTGACCCTGCCTAGCAGCCTTCTCCTTTTAATCTGTGACAGGTCTGACACCCCGTCTGATGCTTTTCCACCACCGCTCTAGAGCTGAGTCCTTGAGCTCCTCCTGCAGGCCTTGGCAGTTATGGCTTCTAATGTCAGGTATGCCGGTCCCTGTGGATTTGATTGGTAGTGTGGCCCCGGGGAATGAATATGTTTTGATGTCGAAAATAAGGCTTGGTAACACCAGGGGGCGCTGTCGTCTCATGTTACTGCTTTCCTCCTGGATGCCGGTGCTGGACTGTGTACCACCTTGGTTTGGGGGAGGGCTGCCCTGGAGTATTTTGTTGGCCTGCTCCTGTCTAAGTCAGGTTTCGGAAACTCAGGCCAGTGGAAGCTGTTGTCCGTGAAAATGTCAGGAGTGCAGGTGTTAGTCCTGACTGTGTCTCTGATTCTGCCTTGAGCACACCAGCTCCCCTCTCGGTTCTTATTTCCCCATCTACGAAGTAGGCACTACTAAAAAATGTGATCCTTTGGGGTGCGTGTATGTGTGTTATTATTTAGTTTTGAAATCCTTAAGGGAAGGAAAACCTATTTAGTGTTTCTCCAGGACAGTAACGTTATTAGTTTGCAAACCTGAACACTGACCCCCGCAAACTTGAAAACTTGAAACCTGCTTTTAAGCTGAATCTCGACTCAGAACTCGAAGGTGGCCCACTGAGTCCAAGTCCAGATATCTCCTGGATTCCTAGTTCTGGCTAAGGGAGATGTGACGGGGGGAATAACGACCCGCCCCTGATCCAGAATATAAAGATCCTTTCTACCGCGGACAGCCAGCTAAAAGGAACCTTAGGAATGTAGCAAAAATATTTTTTTTATATTATGTGTGTCTTTTTAAAAAGTTACTTCATTTTTCTCCATAATCTACCAGAGAATAAACCTTTCTCAGCTTTCGGTTTTGGGAAATGACTAAGAGTCATTTTCTGATTCTTCTGTTAAAAAAAAAAAAGGGGGGGGGGGCCACTTGAAGTCAGCAGAGTGAGAGAGAGCACTCACAGGAAGACACGTGCCCTTCAAAGGCGACTGTCCCAGCGCTGCTTCTGGAGCGAGTCTGGCAGAGCCTCGCAGACCTTCCTCAGAGCCACGTGCAGAAGAGCCAGGTAAGTGGGGTGGACGGGGCCATGCTCAGGGCTCCTGGCCGGGTGCTGGTTTCTAACAGGTGCGAGGACTTTGGAGGCGCTGGGAGCTGCCAGCCGCTCACCCAGTCCCATCACTCGGGCATCTTGGTCAGTCTCCTGCTCACATGTGGCTCCTGTCTTGGAGGTCACACGCGATCTACCTGGACCCACACCCTCCGAGCCCTCATCTGATGCGTACTCATGTTTCCACACATCTGGCCTAGGTCCATCCACATGCTTAGGATACACAGACAATGTTCATTGGACATATAAACTTCTCTGCTTCTTGCTTTTTTGAAGACTCCCAGGCCAAGAAAGACCACACAAATCGGGGCTACAGAAGAATTTCAAACATTTACCAATGGTGTTTGCTCTCGTGTGTTCTCCTGAAGATAATTTCCTAATTTCTCGGCCTCTTTGACTGTATCGCTTTAATTTTCACTGGTAAAATGGTGCAGAAAGACTAGAATTGTTTAAATGGAGTTGCTATTCATTTAATACATTTTTTTCTGGAGACCCTGAGGTGCACCAGGTCCTCAGCCTTTGTTTGCTGGAGTAAATCAAAGTCTCTCTCTGGAGAAACACAGAGTTTAGGTGTTCGGGTGTGTGGTGGTGAGGGTGGGAGGCAGGGCGTAGCTCTGAATTACTGAACAATGGGAAAAGGGTTTTATTAATAAGAGACATCAGGGTGCCAATAAGAAGGAAGTGAGAGGCGCTGGCCAGGTGGCTCCGTTGGTTGGAGAGTGTCTGGTACACCAAAAGATTGCGGATTTGATTCTCGGTCAGGGCACATGCCTAGGTTACGGGTTTGATTCCCCATTTGGGGTGCATATGGGAGGCAACCAATCAATGTTTCCCTCACATCGATGTCTCTCAAATGAATAGAAACATATCCTTGGGTGATTTTTTAAAAAGAAAGAGGAATATAGCCAATAATATTGTAATAACTATGCATGGGGCCAGGCGGGTCCTTGAAATATTGGGATCCACTCTGTAAAGTATATGGTCGTCTAACCACTATGCTGTACATCTGACACTAATACATAATAATAATGAATGTAAACTGTAATTGAAAAAAAAAAAAAGAAGGAAGCCAGGGGAATTGGCCTTGAGTCAGAAAGCCCTCATCCCTGAATTGCTCTGATTTACACATGAACATGTGTGTAACTTTAAGAAGGTTTTAACCTCTTCATCTCCCAATTTAGAGAGGAAACAAGGTAGTTGGGGAGATAGAGATTTTATTTCTGGCTTTGATGTGCCTTTTCTAGATCTGTCATACCAATTCCCATTCTGATAGGATTGATTTTCATATATGGCTTTCATGAAAAGACCAAAAATTTCCCCCAGTTTACACAGCTCAGTACTGTAACCTTCCGAGGGGCCTTGAGAACAGATGTGGTGTGTTGGTGTCAAACTGGCCGGGGGAGGCTAGCCACCCAGGCCTGGGAGGCCAGGCATGTTCCCACCTGGGATGATGCTCTAGAGCAGCAGTTCTCAACCTGTGGGTCCCGACCCCTTTGGGGGTCGAACGACCCTTTCACGGGGGTCGCCTAAGACCATTGGAAAACACATATATAATTACCTATTGTTTTTGTGATTAATTACTATGCTTTAATTATGTTCAATTGGTAACAAGGAAAATACATCCTGCATACCAGATATTTACATGACGATTCATAACAGTAGCAAAATTACAGTTATGAAGTAGCAACGAAAATAATTTTATGGTTGGGGGTCACCACAGCATGAGGAACTGTATGAAAGGGTCGCGGCATTAGGAAGGTTGAGAACCACTACTCTAGAGCGACCATGAAACTTGGCAGTGGTGCACTGGAGCCCACTTGGCCCAACTCTCACGAGCTGGTGGTTAAACAGGAATTTTGTGAGGCAGGCGGTAGCTTGACCTTGGCCATGGTGGGAGTATTTGCATCATGCATGGAAACCAGCAAAATCCATAAATCAGAGCCCTCCCATCTCCAAAACCACCAGACTTCCTTTACCAGCATATCACTGGGACTTGGAGCCTGAAGAGTAAGTTCTGTTCAAAGCTGTGTGGCCTTCAGAAGTCACTTAACCTCTCTGAATCTATCATGAGTTATCTATGCCATGGCTCAGTATGCTCGATTGGCTTAGCGTGCCAGATTTGTGTTGGGATGGTGGGGTGCTGGGGACAGGAGCATTGGAGTGGGATTAAGTGGTCAATACCAATGAACATGGTTTGAAATCTATAAAGTGCAAAGTATACAGGAGGAATTAGAATTTTTATACAGCCCTGGCCAGTGTGGCTCAGTTGGTTGGAGCATCGTTCTGTCCACCAAAGGGATGAGGGTTCGATTCCAGGTTGGGGCACATACCTAGGTTGTGGGTTTGATCTCTGGTCAAGGCTTCTATGGGAGGCAAGTCATTGACGTCTCTCTCTCTCTCTTCCTTCCCCTCTCTGCAGATCAATGAATATGTCCTCATGTGAGGATTAAAAAAATTTATTTTATATGTAAAGGCAAGTGACCAACCTGCCTTCCTTTTAGCTTAATGATTACCTGAGCAATTACTGAATTTTTGGAGTTACAATCTAAAGGGGCAACGTGGGTAGATTTTTAAATCTCTTATTTTCCTTCCCTTTTTAATGTGGGAAAGGCCCTCGGTGCAGTGCTGTTGTGGATAGCTGCTGGTCTTTTCCTTCCTGCACGTGATTTCAGTAACCCCAGACTATCTTTTAGCAACGTGTCCTCAGCAGAGGGGTAAGAACAGTGGCGGGGCTGGAATCTGGAATCTGGAATCTGTCTGGCTCCGAAGGGCAGGATTATTTCATTTGGCTACGCTGCCCTCCAAGGAACTGAGCCCTTCGACCTGGGAAGGTTGGAAAGGATGTAGAACGATTGGGGCAAAATACTAAGCCGGTGTTCTCTGCATTCAGCCATGTTTTGATTTGCTTTTGTTCTTACCAAGCTCTTGTTTGCTCTTCTCCTCATTAGCTTCCTCTGGTTGGCCTCAGGTCTGCCTTGAGGAGCCTGTAGATTTGAAAATGAACGTCACAGGTACAACAGACCCCACCCTCACGGATGAAAGCATCTACAGCATTTACTATCATGATGACAATTTCCCCGAGCCTTGCACCAAAGAAGGCGTCAAGAAATTTGGGGGTCTCTTCCTGCCTCCTCTCTACACCTTGGTCTTTCTGTTTGGGCTGCTGGGAAACTCCATGGTGGTTCTGGTCCTGTTCAAGTACAAGCGGCTCAGGTCCATGACGGATGTGTACCTGCTCAACCTGGCCATCTCGGACCTGCTCTTCGTGCTCTCCCTCCCTTTCTGGGCCTACTACGCCGCAGACCAGTGGGTTTTTGGACTAGGTCTCTGCAAGATTATTTCCTGGATCTACTTGGTAGGCTTTTACAGTGGCATCTTCTTCATCATGCTCATGAGCATCGATAGGTACCTGGCGATCGTGCATGTGGTGTTTTCCCTGAGAGCCAGGACCGTGACTCACGGGGTCATCATCAGCTTGGCCACGTGGTCAGTGGCTGTCTTCGTCTCCCTGCCAGGCCTTCTGTTCAGCACTTGCTCCACAGAGCGCAACCATACCTACTGCAAAACCAAGTACTCGTTCAACTCCACGCAGTGGAAGGTCCTCAGCTCCCTGGAGATCAACGTTCTAGGCCTGGTGATCCCCTTGGGGATCATGCTGTTTTGCTACTCCAGGATCATCAGGACCCTGCAGCACTGCAAAAACGAGAAGAAGAACAAGGCGGTGAAGATGATCTTCGCCGTGGTGGTCCTCTTCCTGGGGTTCTGGACGCCGTACAACGTGGTGCTCTTCCTGGAGACGCTGGTGGAGCTGGAGGTGCTCCAGGACTGCACCTTGGAGAGGCACCTGGACTACGCCATCCAGGCCACAGAGACGCTGGCTTTCGTCCACTGCTGCCTGAACCCGGTCATCTACTTCTTCCTGGGGGAGAAATTCCGCAAGTACATCATCCAGCTTCTCAAAACCTGCAGGGGCTCTTTCGTGCTCTGCAAACACTGCGGGCTCCTCCAGAATTACTCCCCCGACGCCCCCAGCTCATCTTTCACGCAGTCCACCATGGATCACGAGCTGCACGACGCGCTGTAAACCATGGAAATGCACCACCACCAACAAAAAAAACAGAGTTAATATCCTTCCCAAGTTAAAAGTTTACCTGTAATTGTATCCTAGGAAGAGTTCCCGAGCGAGGGTGAGGGAGAAGATGTACATCCACTGCAGAAAGTGGGGCTTCTCGCCCTGCGGTCAGCTGTCCTCTTGCCACGTACAAGTTCAGTGCGGCAAGAGTTCACGCGGCCTGCAGCAGGCTGGCCTGCGCGATCGGTTAACCTGAGGAGATTTCTGAGCAGTGTTTCAAAGAGAAACAATATTGGAAGACATTCATTGCCTTCTAACCTGGACCGGTGGGGTTCTCCTGAGGGAAGAGAAGAGAATTGACTGGTGGCGTAAATGGCTACTTTCTGCTGAGGGAAATGGGCTCTTTCATGAATTTCTAGCTTTTGCAGAAAAATATAGAAAACTTTGACAGGCTGTGCCAGTGTTTTTTTTCCTGATAACATATCTGAAGCCAGGTATATGTGGAAATGAATAGCGAAGTAATGAACGGAGATCTTGATCCTTTGAATGTAAAGGATGGATTGTTAGTGGAAGCCGAACTTTTTACGCTGATTCCAAGTAGGAGGAGATGAAGGCATTAGCATGGTCTGATTTCCAAACATGAAATTCAAGGCAATAAAAAATCCAAACATACTTATGGAAATTCCAATGTTTTGGTTTAATTGTAACAGATGAACATCCAAATTTTATTTTATTTTATTTTTTTTTTTTTAATATATTTTATTGATTTTTTACAGAGAGGAAGGGAGAGAGATAGAGAGTTAGAAACATCGATGAGAGAGAAACATCGATCAGCTGCCTCCTGCACACCTCCTACTGGGGATGTGCCCGCAACCCAGGTACATGCCCTTGACCGGAATCGAACCTGGGACCTTTCAGTCCGCAGGCCGACGCTCTATCCACTGAGCCAAACCGGTTCTGGCGAACATCCAAATTTTAAAAAAAAATACACAGTCCCCGGTACTTTTCTTTGCGGTCATGTACTTGTTTACAAACAGTGCCTTCAAAACTAAAAACAACAAGGACCACTGAGGTATGACGGTGCTTCCTTTGTTCTTTTGAGGTGCCTGCTATCGAGGGAGGCAAGAATAATCAACTAAAAGTTATTGTGGATGTGGACACAAAAAATGACAGTCAAAAACCGGTGAAATTTTGCAAAGTGTCATCCTCTCCTTTAAACTATTAGCCCTGGTTCTTACATTTTGCATGACTCAAAAGTTAAGTCATCTCTTAGGTAATTTTAAGCACGTAATTAGTCATTTCGCACCATGAAGAGAAATCTCTCTTCTTACTCACAGCCTTAATTAACCACAATTATGGAAAGACTTCAACGAAGTCTGGGCGTAATTGTAATACAGGGATACCTAAAACCCTTCCAGAAACAAAGGCCTATCTTGCAAACCGTGCACTGAATTACGCAGTTCAAACCGCTTCTGTAAGTTGACACATTACCGCATGCTCTGCATTTAGAAAGAATGCATTTCCAGATGGTTTATTTTAAGGAAAGTGATTTGAAAAGGGTACGTCGATGTTGCCTTCATAGAAGAAAATAAAATAAATGTGAACATGGTCCCACAGAGCCTCTTTTCCTGGTCGTGTTCGGGTTTGGTCTGATGTGGGTGAGGATCCAAGCTGCTGAGGTCCCCTTGCCTCACCCTCCCCTCATCAGCCACACGCCCAGGATGATATGGACGTGTCCCGGGGGAGGAATCAGAGGGTTTGCTGTTCAGATCTCCCCTTGGGGTGGGGAGTGGAGTTGCTTTCTTCTTCCAGTGCCCTTGGAGATCAGTGTGGGTAAGAAGGGAGGGCGGGCCAGGTTCCTCGGTAGAGTTTCCTTAGAAAACCTCCACATGGTATGCGAGGACCTGCCAAATCCCAGCTTTGCATTCCTTTGTGAGCCTATGCACATTACTTTTCTCTCGTTGCCTCAGTTTCCTCTGAGCTAGAAAGCCGAACATATTTCAGAATGACTGGAAGAAAGAAAGAAGACGGCTGATACGAAGCGCCCACGTTCCCGGGTTGTAGAAAAAGGTGGTCTTGGGTTAGCCCTACCAGTGGCTGCCTCCCCTTTCCTGGTAGAGCTTGTGATTTCATTCACTTAATCTCAGCGTGACAGAAATTTCGGGACACCGAAAGACAAAGACTGGCCATAGCGGTTTTACTGTCCCTTCGTCCCCCATCACATGCAGTGCTAAGCAAGGGTGAGAGGCAGACCGCACAGCTTCCAACCCTCCACCTGGGGTGGGGTCATCCATCACCTCAAGTCACTCAGGGCTTCCCCTGTTCCAAAGCTGGGGGATATTTCCTCAGGATGGGACTGTGGAACCTCTAGTGCCACCCAAACACGACCCTCTCGGAACACGGGAAAGAAAGTTCCTTCCCATTCAGTAATAGAAACCTGGAAAAGCAAGCCGGCATGATTTCTACACAAAGGTGGGTTACACCAGTCAGTTTTCAGACATTAGATCCATTCCTTTCTTGCTGCAACAGACCTCGCTTCTGGAAGACTAGGGTTAATTTGTTGAAGAAGAGTAAGAGCAGGTTTGCTTTGGGGGTGATGTAAAGGTTTTGGAACTGGATAGAGGTGATGGCTGCACAACATTGAGGTGAATGTGCTAAATGCCATGGAATTATACTTATTTATTGATTTTTAAATATGTTTTTATTGATTTGAGAGAGAGAGAGAGAGAGAGAGAGACATTGATTGGGGATTAAGCCAATGTGCATTGATTGGGGATTAAGCCCAGGCATGTGCCCTGACTGGGAATCGAACCAGCAACTTTTTGGTGCACAGGATGACACTCCAACCAACCGAGCCACACCAGCCAGGGCTTGTACATTTTTAAATGGTTAGTTTTATACTATGTGAATTTTACCTTAACGCCACCACCACTAACAACAATAAGAATAATAGGAAATTGCCCTAGCAGTATTTGTCTCAGAGTAAGCACTCAAATGATTTTGAATAAATAAATAACATCTCCTAACCGGTTTGGCTCAGTGGATAGAGCGTCGGCCTGCGGACTGAAGGGTCCCAGGTTCGATTCCGGTCAAGGGCATGTACCTTGGTTGCGGGCACATCCCCAGTAGGGGGTGTGCAGGAGGCAGCTGATCAATGTTTCTCTCTCATCGGTGTTTCTAACTCTCTATCCCTTTCCCTTCCTCTCTGTAAAAAATCAATAAAATATATATTTTATAAAAAATAATATCTGTTTTCCCCAAAAATGTACACAATAAAATAATCCCTGAAAAATCAACAACAATCTGTTTCCCATGAGAAGAGAAATACAGGGTGATGCCAAAGGGTCTTCAGACCTTTAGGGAGATTTTTCCTAAGAACCTCTCATAGCAATTTGGAACATTTGATGTAATTAATTCGGATGTGTGGAGTGCCTGTTTTGTGCCAAGCAGAATTCGAGGCTATGGAGAGAATAATAGGATAAAGGAGGAAGCTCTCCACTCACTGAATTTACAGTCTAATAAGGGAAACCACAAACACAAGGTCCACTCTTATGCAAGCCGGACGGATATGATATAAGAATTGGGAACATGCTTTGCGACCCAGAGGAAGGAGAAATTGATTCAGTTTCAACTTTTTATAATACAATTATCTTTTGAAGTAGGCCTTGTTAGAGGAGCTTGATTAAAAATATTTTTTAAAATTGATTTTAGAGCGGAAGGGAGAGGGAGAGAGATAGAAACCTCAATGACAGAATCATTCATTGGCTGCCTCCTGCACGCTCCACACTGGGGAATGAGCCTGCAACCCGAGCATGTGCCCCAACCGGGAATCAACTGGGAATTGAACCCTGACTTCCTGGTTCATAGGTTGATGCTCAACCACTGAGTCACACCTGCCGACCTTTTTATTTTTAATTTTTTAAAGTATATTTTTATTGATTTCAGAATGGAAGGGAGAGGGAGAAACAATCATGAGAATCATTGCTTGGCTACCTCCTGCACACCCCCCACTGGGGATCAAGCCCACAACCCAGGCATGTGACCTTGACCATAATCCCCTCAGTCTGCAGGGGTCGATCCAGTGAGCCAAACCAGCCAGGGCTTTTTTTTTTTTTTTTGAGAGAGAGAGAGAGTGGGAGGGAGGGGGAGAGAGAGAGAAACATCAATGTGAGAAAGAGACATTGATTGGTTGTCTCCCACATGTGCCAGGGCCCGAGCCTGCAACCGAGGTACATGTCCTTGACCTAATTGAACCCAGGACCCTTCAGTCCTCAGGCCAAAGAGGAGCTTGATTTTGATGACTGGAAGGGAGGAAGGACAATCTAGACTAATTAAATAGCATATGAAAAGGCAGGGTAGTGAGAGCATATTGTGTGTCCAGGGAGTGGTGAGTAGGTTTTTGTAGTTAAAGTGATAATGTGCAGGGTGGGGAAGAGGAACAAAGTAGGGAAAGATGAGAGAGACCACAGAGGCTGCAGTTCTGAGCTACTGAGTCAGCTGCCAGCCCATATTAGGCTTGAGAAGACGTTAGTGGGTGCTGAAGTGTGCTGTCTGTACGCCCTCTGTTAGGACTGGAGCATGCATTCTCCAGCACAAGGAGCCCTGACGGATGACACTGAGCTCCTCTCCTTTCCAGACTATCCTCTCCAGGTGCAGCTCACATCCAGTGACCAGATAGTGACTGGAACAAAACATTTTCCTTCTTGCCTTAATTTGGGACAACTCTGAAGAGCCATTTCTACTCCAGAGCTCCCCATAAGATCAGCCGAGACCTCTGCTGTAATGACCTTGCCGTTCAACTTTGCCTACTGTCTAGTCCTGCTTCCTTCCTGCCCTACAGGTGCTGTTCCCTAGAGCAGTGGTCGCCAACCACTAGTGGACCACTGGTGGTCCGTGAGGTCTGCAAGGTTGGTGACCGCTGCCCTAGAGGACTCCCCATCAAGTCTCCTGGATGCTAAGCTTGTCTCAGAGTCTGTTTCCAGGAACCCCAATCTAAAATGGGACTTTTGGATCACACAGGGGGACAAGTGGGCGCCTAATATAAATGGAAATTGACCTCAAGTGTGGAAAAATGAGGAAGTAT